GTAATCCAAAAACACTAATATTTGAAGCCTACTGGCTTTGTGCACAAACATCGAGACTAAATGCTGAAGTGTTCTCTGGTGAAGTTTTCCCCTTATTTGTAAAGTCTTTAACATATTGTCATTGGCATCCACCTGCAACTCCATTTACACGGTGCTGGGGTTTATGCCAAGTTGAGTTAAAATCAATAACTGATAGATATCCTTGGGGCTAAAAAGACAACAGATACTGTTCAGTGGTCAGAATTAGCAGAGTGTCATTGTGCACAGAGCAAATTGATAAGATGTTGTTTTTCATTTTTTTTAGAAATGGAAAAATCCCAGTGAACGATGAGGAGCAGACTAATGTCCCACACATTTATGCCATTGGTGACATACTGGAGGGTAAATGGGAGCTGACTCCTGTGGCCATCCAAGCTGGGAAGCTGCTGGCACGCCGCTTGTATAGGGGATCCACACTTAAGGTACCTTTGTTGAAAGGAGTAACTGTACTTTTTTTGAAAAAGAGAAGTACAGTTACTTTAATCAAGTATTACTATGTATAATGTTAATGTGTATTAATAAGCAAATATTTAACCATCAGTGTTGTGCTGATAACAGGTCAGATTTAATTAATACAGTGATCCTTGCATGTACAAGAAATGCTCTAAAATGTCCTTTGTGTTTCATCCCAGTTTATGATTCTAGTCACTCCATATGAACATAATGTTTGTATATGTAAAGTGATCTTTTCTGATAAAATTTTTTTTTAAAATCATGTTTGTATACTAATAATAATTTTGCATTTTTTTTCCCTCTATCCAGTGTGATTATGTGAATGTCCCCACAACTGTATTTACCCCATTGGAATACGGCTGCTGCGGACTGTCAGAGGAGAAGGCCATTGAGCTCTACGGTCAGGAAAATTTGGAGGTAAACTGGTGGATATGTCGTCTCGGACTATGAACCATTTCTGGGTGGAGCTTTCTAAGAAGCAGGGGTGGGCTTGTCTTGCCTAACCGCTAGTATGAGTCAGTCTGAGCAGTCTAGTATGAGAAATTAATTGCTTTAAACATGTTGAGTATCTCTCACTTACTCTTGTGTGACTAAAGACTTCTTCTGTGTTTTCATTTAACTGAGAACTGGATACCTAATAACTTGTGTCACCTAATTGCTTGTGTGCAGATCTACCACAGTCTGTTCTGGCCTCTGGAATTCACTGTGCCTGGAAGGGATAACAATAAATGCTATGCCAAGATCATTTGCAATAAGCTGGACAATGTAAGGCTTTCTTGATTTAATTTAAACCAGGTATTGTTTGCTCATGATCATACAATATCATTCTCCTTTTTTCCACAGGAGCGAGTAATCGGCTTTCACTATATGGGTCCAAATGCTGGAGAGGTGACCCAGGGCTTTGGTGCAGCTATGAAATGTGGCGTGACCAAAGAGCAGCTGGATGTCACCATTGGTATCCACCCAACCTGTGCTGAGGTAAATTTGCCAATGGCCCTAAATATATTTGGGTTTAATCCATAGACTGTATAAAGAAGTGGACCAAGGGAGTGTGACATCACCCATAGTGTTCGGCTCCAGTCAAGTGAAGCTCACGATGCTAGCACTGCGCTGCGAATTTGGACCCATTTTAGGAATAGGAATATATTTATGTTAAAAATGGATAAATAAAAACACCAGGATCATGTATGGGTTAATACATACATTTTAAGACCAATATTTATGCAAATGCTTCAGTTGGAAAAAGTGCAGACTTCCTATTTCCCTAACAGTTAGTGGGTTAGCTATGCCCATTAATTTAAGGTTTAATTCCTGGGCAAGAGCCTAGTAGTTGGTAATTTTACTTAATACTTTTTTCACTTTTTTAATATCCTAATTTGTAAAGATGTGTGTTTATAAGAACATTTCACTTTTAACAGCTTTGACATTTCTATCAACTCCTAGCCTAAAAGCACTTCAGCATTACTCCCTACTTTTGATCAGTGAGTGCGTATACATGCACATCAATAACCCGGTTATGATCGGGTTTTTTGAGTATCCCGGTTTCTTGATGGTGCATGTATACGCAGTAACCCGAATACTGACATAAACGGGATATGGCTAATAAGCGGGATACTGATGTGCATGTATACACACTCAATAAAACTGCCTAGTAACCAGATGCCAGTGCAGTTCTGATGTTAATGATTTGTTCTGATCCCCTTAGATCTTTACCACAATGGAGGTGACCAAGAGCTCTGGTGGAGACATCACTCAGGCGGGCTGCTGAGGTTAAACCCTGCTTGTTTAGCTTGCTGCTCTTATGTTTGACTATTTAGCTACCTCATCCACCACTAGAGCTCAGTTTACTTGCCTCAGGTTGCTCAGTTTACATTGTTGCATTTCTCAGGACAAACGGAGCACCATGGTCAGTTTTGACACATTATTGTGTGTTGGCTCAGAGCTTAGAGGTAGGCATAAGAGCAGCAGCTGAACGGCGGGGTTACTTCGCTTAAGTCTTTGGGCTTCACAGGATTCTTTTCAGAGGAGCACTATACATGTGTGTGTATGGGAGCTGTTTGACATTCTAGCTTGTAACCCAAAATACTGTGGTGAGCTAGGATCGATGTACCACTGAAGAGGCACATCTGTGGCCTAAACCCTACGTCCAATCCCCAACTTAAACACTTTTCTATACATTAGACTTGTTTTATAGGTTACCTTAAATAAGCCTTATAGGTACACATGGAGAAACAGAAGTTGGTTTGCTTTACTCCGCTTTGTACAAACATGTTTGCAGTTTAGAAAGCTAATTATTCTGTCATATTTATCTGTGGAGGTTCTCTGCCTTAAAGGTGAAGCTGCAGATTTGACCAAAGTCTTGTCAAACTAGGTGGGCAATTTATTTGAAGGACTGTGTTGTCTCATTCTTTTGATGTAAAGATGAATAATCTGTGCTGAATGTTTTAAAATATATATATATTTTCAAACTTTTTACTCAAATAATTTAATGCTGCTTGATGTTCTTGCTCAACTTCAGCAATATTTATGCTGCATCTATGCCTGCAGAGAACAGTATTCTGACTGCTGTCTTTGAGTGACACTGGTCAGTGGTAAATTATACTTGCTCGTGTCAAACCACTGTAGAGTTAATTCCTCCTAAGAACTAATAAATTTGCATTTACCCAAAATGTCTTTGACTATTAAATGTTATGGTTATTGTTGTTATGCTCTCAGTATGTCCTTGGACAAGGCATTTAACCAGTCTTGTCCCCAGTGTGTGTTGAATGAATGTGTGAATGGAAGGTTCACTTTAAGGAGGAAAAGTGCAATATAAAAATGATTGCATTCACTAAGACACCTACTCTCGTAACAGACCTTTCCAAACATGCAAAATGGGAATGCAGTGTAAACATGTCCAAACACAAATGCAGCTAGCTTTTTTTTTTTTTTTTTTTAAAAAGCTATTTGCTGATTATGTGTCCTTGATCTAGGGCCCTTCATCATGCCTATATTTATTCATTAGCTACGTATTTGGTTTGGTATTGCAATCCAATTACAACACATCAAACCAGTCTATTAAAGTGCACTATCTATGGGATAATGTGTGGGGACATTCAGTTGGTGGGGAGATCAATGGGACCAGGGCTGGTGTAAAGCCTTTGTGGCATCCATTCATCTGCATGTTAAGCACAGGCACCTGCACTGACCATAACCATAACAACATGGCCTTTGAGTTTTATTTAGTGCCTCAGAAACCAACAATTATAAAGTGATTATTTGAGGGCTTTGATACCCACTGACACCTGTACTTGGTCTACACCCCCCCAAAAAAAAGGTGTCACACAGTAACACAATATACATGTTTTTCTGTATCCTGCCTGGAATTAAATGCTATTGATATTAAATGCCTGCCTGTGTCTTTTCTTTCAGTTATTGAAAGTAAAATGCATTTGAGAGTGGGGGAAATGAACATGAAGAGGAGTAATCTATGGTGTGTGGACATTCCAGGAACAAACTTAAGCACAGTTGCAACATATCTACACAAGGAAACGATAGCAACAATGAAAATCTTTGAAGATGAAGGTTACAGTCACTGTGTTTAGAGAAAAGTCACAAGTCTTCCCTGTCTCACAGTGACTTGCACACTTTCTTGTCCACTGGTCAGAAAGTTCAGGGTGAAATCCATTGTTGTGCAACCAATCTGCATTACTATCGGTGCTCTGTAATAATGACCACAAGTGACAAATTATTAACCTTTCAAGCTAAGTAGGCTATCTACTCACTGTTCGCCTATATGAAGCAATATGAGGTAGTAGTTACTGATTAAGTATATATTTCTTAGCCTATAAGCAAAAGAGCTTTCCAGGAGAATCTTTCACTCAGTTCGCCTCTACACCTTACAGTATGGTCTCATTCACCCAAAAAGTGTAGTACAAATATTCATCACACCCAGCACATTTCTGTTCAAAATGTCAGAAAGAGCTGGGCCTCGTTGCCCTCTGGTGGTGATCTCTTTTGGCATGACTTGCCTGGGATCCAGAAAACACACTTCAATACGAATCTGTATTAAATATAGAGCGACATCGCATTTTCTTTCACAATAATTTCACCAGTTCACCTTCAACAGTTTTTATGAATAAGCTGACTGTATAAATGACTGGTATGAATGAAGGCACAATGGTTGCCAACAAAATAGTGAAAAGTTTAAGAAATAGGCCTATTGATATTTTGGTTTACTTCAGTTAATCTAACTCGAACAGTTTATGTTATAGATAGGCCTGTATAAATAGTGCACATAGTATCACGTGAGAAAACAATCACAAACCTAAATGTCTTTAGCAGCCAATACCTGTATTGGCATCTGTTGACCTTAGGGGGGCGATCTTGTGTAACACTTTTTAAAAATTTTGTCAGTTTTTCGTTATTCCTTTGAGAGAGACTTGTTTTCAAGTTCAAGGAACTGTATGTAAGATTATGATTTTAAATTGCATAAATTTAGCCTTTTTGTGTCCTTAAATACGAATATCACATCAAATATAGTGCTTACGGTAGGATAACTGTAATGCTGATGTATTTTTAATTACAAAAAAGATGGCCAAGTTGTTTATGAAGGTTTAAGTCTAAAATGCCTGAAATGTTTTTAATCGTAACTTTACCTAAACCCCAGCATCTGCAGCTAATTATAGCCAGTGCTAGTGCAGCCTCTGCTAGTGCAGTGGCAGCCCAGGTCAAATTGTGTTTATATCTTTTTTTAAAAACATATCCTGCTGTTCAGTCAGGCATCTGTTCCTTATCTGTTCCAACAGTTTAGAGTTTCTCCACTTGAGTGTGGACTTTGGATTTTTGGCACTGGAGTTTGGCTCAGTGATGTAGATTGCGTTGGTCCCCAAAAAGGAGCATTGCACTGGAATAATTTTTCCTGTCTGACGTCTTACGATATCTCAGGGACTGGGTGTGTTCTTCACTTGAACGCAATAATAACTTATGTTGTGATAAATGGCATGTGTTTGACATACTTTTTTGTTTAATTGTTTCCAGTCCATCCGTTTTTATTTGTAAACTAGTTGTAAACAAGTGTAGAATTCTGAGTACTCTTAAGGGTCATATGTATAAGAATACAAGAATAACTTAATAAAATGACCAAAACATAGCATTATAAATCGTGCATGATGTACAATGAGCTCTAAACTACTGTAGATCATTTGCCTATAGAGGCCATAGCAGTGGTTCTCAGTGTTGAGGCATCAGGCAAATTAAAAAGAATTGAAATAAACTTCATAGAAATTTGTTTAAATAGACCAGCAGAGGCCAAACTATGGCAAAATGTGGCCATCGGACAAAATTTTATTGGCTCTCAGGCCTTCTGCTGTAAATTTAAGTATTTTCTACCACTATAATCTCAACACCACTTTTTCATTGTGATACAGACCTGAAAATGAATGTTCCAAGCCTTATTAAAGGTACAGTGGTTCTGTCAAGACTGTGTAAATTGCATCCATGTGAATGATCCACTGTAGTGACACCAGTCTGTCAAAATGTGGCCCTTGAAATAGCTTATACTAATTGAAATGAACAAAAGTTCTATGGCCATTACTATTTGCATTTTATATGTAAATCTAAAGTGGAAAACAACCAAAACAAATTTTTATATCAAATGTGAGTCAATCAGAATGGGACAGGTGAAACTCGCATGAATAATGAGGGCTGTGATGTTACAGTTTGTGGGAGTGTTGGTTATCATGTCACACAAATTCCAGGTAGTTATCTCTTTTTTTTTTTTTCTTTTTTTTTTCATTACCAACGTAAAGTTATGTGTGACCTAAAAAAAGTTGGGCTCATATGATGTATATTATGAAATTTTAAATTTGAAAAATCTTAATAATAATTTTGCTAAAATTGTAGACACAAAGACCATACAGTGTATGGAAATGGAATCTACAAATGTTTGTTACTCTAGCACAGTGATTCTTAACCATAGAGACAGGTTACTTCGTACAGGAAAAGTCAGGCCCTGAGATTCAAAAACTTTAAGTTTATCTTGCATGATTGTTAGCCTATATTGTTAGGAATTATGTACTGATGTAACTCTATTGCAGCACTTCATTTCCCCATTGTGAAGACAACACATGACATACTGTAAGTTTTAGTAAGCAGATTTTGTTCCTAAAAGTTCCCTAAATCGTTGTTGGCTTTGTTTGGTTTCACAGTATGCAGTTAGCAGCACACAGTAACCTTTGTCCAGGTATGAGCTGCTCTGATTGGCTGACCTGTGTGGGAATGTGCACTGACCCCTGAAGCTGACAGTTACCCATCATGCCCCTGTCAGACAGTAAACAGTGACAGGCTTCACACCGTGTTGCCATGAGACGTAAGTTTGATCAGCCTCGTGCCGCCGAACTAGCCCTGACTTCTCTCAGGCTCTCATCCATTCAGGAATGCGGGGAGGTCAAATGTCTAAGGCAACACAGTTGGCAGTCTTCCTTATTTCTCTAATTAGCTAAACAGGGGTGAGTGTGCTAAAATAGTGTATGTGCAGGCTCCTGAGTGTGGACCCCCTCTGGTTCTGACATTTCAGCTTAGAGGCAGCCTATCACATGTCATCTTATGTGCAGTCATGTGCTCCTCTTGCACCCTCATTGGCATGCTGTAACAGGACACTTTGACCAAAACTATAGCTACTGCTCACAGTGCTCACAGTGAGAGGCAGGCCCTAGTCTACAGGGTGCAAAATTATGCATTACAGCCTCAGTTAAAAGTTCAGGTACCTACATAATGATGCTTGTTATGTTTGCACCCCTTTGAAACTTGTCTGGTGTTCTGGAGCAGGGGTGTCCAAGATATTTTCATCAAGGGCCACATATTAAAACACAGATGAATGACCCACCAGACCTTCGTTCACGCTTAGGCCATCAAAAGGATACACTAAATTTGCTTGATCAAGGTAGATTTCAAAAACACGCAGTAAAACGTAATATTTTTAGTAGTATGGGGCAATTTACCTGGAAGCCTCAGGGCCACATTTGGACCCCAAGCAGTAACAGTATTGACTGATTAAAATCTTGTCAAAATATTGGGTTGCTTAATCAGTCTGTGTCTCACATGAGATACTGAAGAGGAGTTTGCACAAGCTTTGACAGCTGCTCCAAATAACTGTAAAGGGAGTCACTAAAAGTGTAGATTTCAAGACATGATTGTGTTTCCAATGTAATACTCACTTTTTATATAGTCTACATGTGGAGAAAAAAAAAAGATGAAATAATCTAAATAGTTTGGAAGGGTCAGGGGACTGTGCCCGAATCTCTGAGCAGGACTGATGAAACTTGAACCATATAATTTTGTCATGACTTTTCAGTTTATTGAGGGGTGGAATTGAATAAATGTTCTTCTTCCCACTCCTTTTTGAGCTCAAATCTATATTATATGTGAAATGTAAATTAAGTCTACTGGATACATTTATTAAATTAATTTTGTTAACATTCATTCTTTTTGTGTGAGTATATGGCATGTCTTTATACAGTCTATAGCCATGTCGGTTTTATTTTGAAAAGCGGAGCTGTGTGTCGCTCAGTCTGTGCTTAGTTCCAGCTCGACTCTCTTGGAGCAGGGACAGCAGTGAATCCACGCTGAACTGTGAGAGGCTGGGAAAGGGTTAAAGAGCTCAGCTGCCTCAGTCCTGGGAGCCGCTGCTCGGGCTGAACCCCCCTTTAGACAAACACACTGATTTCTGCTCGGTCTTCTCTCAGTAATGCTGCATCTGCCTCTTTCCCTTCACCATCGCACGGACTATATTCGGTAACGCAGAGATCCTGACCGCACGGAGCTCCGTACGCGCGCCGTCCTTCCACCGTCAGTCCGCGGTGAGAGTCCTCCAGACTGGACATGCCAGGATGTACGGGTCGATGAGAAGCAGCGGAGGAGGCGATCAGCGAGCAGGCTCCAGGCTTTTATCCGTGATAAAGTAATCTGAAACCAGCGTCTTTTCGCATGAAACAGGAGAAGGTTCGGGCTCGGCTTCCTCCACCGGTTTCAAAAGACTCACCATGAGAAAACCCAAAGTGATCCGGATAATTTTTGCTTTGAGCCTGGGGTGTTTTGTTATGGTTATCGTCTATTTTAACAGCAATCTCAAACCAGGTGAGTCTTAAGGCTTTAGTTTAGAGCTACCTTTATCAATGCGTTGTACTAAATGAACCACCAATAAGAGCAGTGGGCCCAAATCAGACCACTAGGTAACTCACCATTGTGTACAAGGCAAGGCAAGCCTACCTCAAAACCTTTGTCTCCTCTCTGGTCTTGAACAGATGCAGTGACCTCTCCCTTTACCTGCCCCAAGACCTCTATGAAAAATGACTACTGATGATTTATTACATACTTTACCTCGCTCTGTGTCAGTTTGCCTTGAAGATCAACTGGACAATTATATTATTATTAGAATGAATTCAAGATACTGCAGCTTCTTGTATGCTGCACATTAAATTGACCTTTAAAGGGTTTTTTTGTTGTTGTTTTTTTGTTTGTTTGTTTGTTTTTTCATTTGCCATTTCATTCAGTCCTGCCCTTAAAGTATTTCTCACAGATATCAGATCAGGAACTATTTCATCACTAAGCCTATTACAGCCATGTTTCCGGTCTGTGCTACGTGGAGAAGCTGCAGCTGGTCCGAAGGGCTGGCTCAGTAAAGATCTGTTTCCAGCTCTGCCACATACAATGGTCTCTTTCAGCCTCACTTACTGCCATATGATGGAGCAGAGGAATCTTAAATAGTATCCTCTGAAGGTCATAAAGGCAGGTTTTCTCAGCACTGGGGTATAAATATATAAAAATATGCATGCCATGGGAGGAGTATTTGTGCCTCTTTATGTGCTGCTTCAGTTTTTCTGGGATGCAGCAGGAAGAGCACAGGTGGAATGAATGACAGTGCAGAGCTCTGTGATGGGCCCGCATTCAAAGTTATTATCTACATCTGTGCTCTGTCTGTAGGCCTGAAGCCTGTTTCCTGCAGCGATCTGCGTACTGTACTTTGTACTGTGTACTTTGACAAACACAGAGGAACAAGTTATGCTGATATCTTTTTAACATTACTGAGGTTAAGTTCAGCATTCCCTTATGTCCCTTGTGTCCTGCTGTGTGCTCAGTCCGAGTCTCAGGCCCACATTTAAAGACCGTCCACTCTCAGTACCACTGTGGTTTAAACTGTCGGTAGTCAGATCTGCTCATGTTGAACTGTGCCTGGGCTGTTTCTGTTTCTTTGTGTCTGTTCATTGTCTTTATGGACAGAAATGTTAGGTATAGCCAGTAGCCAAAGAGGTGTAATTTGGGAACCACATGACTACAAAACTTAAGACTTGGAGAATGAGGAACTTAGTCATGTGAGAGAAGCTCGGGGTAAAGTCACTGCTCCTCCACATTGCAAAGAGCCAGCTGGTTCGACGTGATGCAGTCCAGTTAACTTTTCGGGTTACTGTCTACATTAAAGATACCATCCATAATTAAACTGGCATTCTCACATATCACCACTAGATGCTATCTACATTACTGCAGTCTGATAATGTGCCAGCTTTGGCCGGCAGAAGAATGCCAGAGAGCAAAGGTGAACCAGAACAAACTCCAGGTGTGGGGAGGGGTGAGCAGGTTTTCATACCTGGTCTCGAGTGGAAAAACACTATCTAATTAAGATATGGATGGTAGCTTTAAGGAATGTAAATTGTGCTGAGTGATGCAGACTTCTTTTAAAGGAACATTACAGCCTCATGCTCCTCTACTAATGTAGTGCAACCTGAAAGATGAATTCTGAGACTTTAAGATTTGATTTTGACTAAAACTATACATGGTCCAATTTAATAATGCCTCAGCTAAATATTGTGTACTTTTTGAGAACCTTGCCAGCTGCAATGGATCAGGCACTTGTTTCCAGAAAGTGACTGGTCATGGGAGTAGAAAGCTATGAGTCAGAACATTTAGTTATCATTCTGGAAACTTTGGCTGAGTGTAGGTGGTTATTGTTTCCAGTGATTTCCAGTTTGTAACACTTCTACTGTACTGACGGCGAGACAGCCTGGTGAGCAGAGGTTAACATGAGTCAGCCCCTTCCACTGGGGCTCAACTAAAGATCAGATATCAGTTTGTCCAGAATATGTTTCCTTTTTTTTTTTTCATTCATTTCTTTGGTGATTTGAATGTTCAGCTGTGGGATCTCATAATGCCTGGAAACTTTTATTGATTTTCCATATGCATCCACTTTAGATGACACCCACTTTTGGACTTGGGCCAGCTGTGCTTAAGGTCATACTTCTTTAAAATATCGAAGGAGCAGTGCCTCAACTATAAAACAGAGCAGTGCCTCCTTGAGCCACGTGGTCTAAAATTGTTGTTCTCTTCTTACTGCTTGTCAGTAGAATCTGAACTCTGTATTTTTACATTATCAAACATTTGTCAAACAAATTAGCAGTTCTAACAGACGTGTTTTTCTTTTTCTTCATAATTTAAATATTTTCCTATTTTGTCCTTTACATTTTTATTATTACTTAGTTATTATTAAGTATCTATTCACGAAACTTTGAAACTATGACAAATAATGTGGTACTGTATCTAGATGTGTCCTTTGTGTTTACAGAAAGAGATGCAGATGTTAACACATGTTATCTTGTTAAAGTACAAAATGTTTAATGACTTGAAGGTCACAAGAGCCAGTCATTGATTTGTTCCCATTTCCTCTGAAAAGGTTCCCTTCTCATGCCTTTCCTGTCTGGGCTTGACTGGCCGTGAAAGTCATGAGGAATTATGACTGTGGATGTCAACTCCGTTCACTGTAACACCTGCAGCACACTCCGCTCATTTGTGGTCGCCCCAGGACATCATTTGTGAAGTGAGAGTGCAGTGCTTAAAGTCTATACACAAAGGCCATGCGCACTATATGAATGCACTTTTCTCTTTGTTTTTACTACTAGCCCCATGCTTTTGGCAGTTCAGTTGTGCCAGTTCAGTGTTAGCAGTCAGAGGCATCCCTGCTGTGGAGAGCAGCTGCTCCCAACCACTGCTCTGTGACAGGACACCCTTATTTAATGACCCGGGGTGTTATATTTTAATTCAGACTTGTGGTCATGACTTATATAATCATCCAGTCAGGGCTGCAAAGATTACTTCTGATTTGTCACTAGTCAGCTATAAAAAATCCCATAGTTGTATTTGATCATATCATAATCAATATTCTAGACTAAACAGGCTCTAAAACAGATGTGAAAGACTCTGTAACAAAGACAGTGGCATTATGAAATCTAAATGTAAAAAATTTATGATTTGTCAATAATAAACTTTTTTGGTATATGGAATATTTTCCATTTAGAAGACCTTTCCTAAAAGAAGCTCAGAGAGGCTCAGTTGGAGTCTTTGTCCACTGATCAGATGGTTACTGTTCTCGACATAAATATCATTGGGGGAGCGGTCAGATCAACTGACCCAATTCCAGATGAATGCTGCTTGTTGCGTCCTTGGGCAAGACACTTAACCCATCTCACCACGGGTGTCTGTGTACATTGGTGTATGAATGTGTGTGTGAAAGCGTGAGTAAATCCTTGATGTAAAGCGCTTGAAGGTTTAAAACCTCTTTATAAAAATGTGACCACTTAGGATTACCATTTCCTGTAAACTAAAAGTACAGTACATGCATTGCCGTTTATAGTGTGAAAATGAATTGGCATTGCATGAGAAAAAATGTCAGCCAAGGAAGTCAGATCTGCTTTTCCTTTAGCATATCTGTCTTAGACTTGAATCAGTTTTCACTGTGTCTTACTGAGGCTGTATAATGCATTTTTCAGATTCTTTTTGTGAGCGCTTTGGCAGCCTTGAGTGGCATGAACTGTCACTTGTGTGGTTTGTATTATCCATGAGACACCTTCTGCAGAAGAGATGGACTCTTATTTAGGATTATATTTATTACATTTTGTTTAGATATTTAGGATTTGATTAATCAGTTGATGGTGTCTTAGACCCAGCAGATGAGAATGCATTGATTGAGAATATCTGGTGTTTTGAATGATGATTTTACTCTCCATTTTTTCATATGAAGATGATGTTTACTTGTAATATTCTGTATAGTTATTATCGTGTCTTGTGAGTGTAGTCAGATGCATGGTCAGACCATAAGGAAAATAAGAACCACATATTTCAACTTAGTCACCTTTTTATAAAGTGTGCACACAGAAATGTTGTGCAGGTGACTTTCCAAGTTTGTGATCTATAAAAAGACAACCTGACAAGGAAATGAGCGGTAGGGTCCAAAAACTGAATGGTGATCTGTGCTCAGAGAGGAGAGATGTGAGAGAGTTCAAGGAATTTTGTGTTTTGTCTGTTTGCACTTAAAAACTCAAAGTGGTCTAAAAGAAAACAACTTGTAATCAAGTTTGTTTTTTTCTTTTGGCAATTTACACCCAACAGCTTGTTGGATGGATAACAACACTGTGGGCAACACTGTGGTCAGATGTTGAGATGATGTATTAATGTCGTATGTTGTTTGTTGTTGTTTAACTTTAGGAGATAGCGAGTGTTTAATGACTAAGTATTGATATAAAGCACTGCAAATTATATATCTTTGGTTTGCACTCAAAGAGTAAAGATAAGTTAATATTATGCTTATTGGATTTATACCAGGTTATTCTTCAAAAGTACTTCAAAATAAATCCTCCTGGCACCTCTGACATCCGAGGATATGTAGCGGCTTAACTCTCATACACATATAAGCATACACTGCACCACCCACACATGGTCCTGGCATTTACATTTGCTTCTAACACCCTTTCCACACACACTTGTGGCCTGCAGGATCATACAGTGTGCCTCAGTAAAGCTGCTTTTGAGCATCGGACGACCTCGTGGAAGGGGGGCTACTTCTCCCACTGCGGGACCAAAGCACAGAGCTCCGTTTTATGACTGGACAGGAGGAGTACACACCAGGACTTTCTCTGCCGGGCATTTCCTCCTCTGAATTATAGGAATCCAGAGGAATGCAGAGAAGCTTTGGGTCTAGACATGGTTTAACTAACAGCACTGCCCCCTCCTTCTTTCAAAGACTGGCTGGGTGTGGTGGGTGAATCTTTTATAACAGCTAATTTGAATTTATCACGGTGGAAATATAGGTTAAATGCTGCCATGTGGTGTACTAACTGGTCTGAAACGTTTTGGTTTAGTTCAGAGATTATTCATGCTCAATTGTGTTTCACTGAGTCAGTTGGAGAGTCTCTGCTCCATGAGATAGTGGTGTAGGTGAATGTCTTTAAAACATGAGACACATATTTCCATCTCTAACTTTAGAAGCACGTCAGACTGATATCATTCACGGGCTTTTTGTATGGAGTTTCTTCAAGCTGCCAGAAGGGCTTAACGGGCTGTTAAAGGTACCAGAACAGTGCTGAAAGATGGTGTAAGGTTGCAAGGTTTTATCTTTTAGACAATGATAATGATGAATACAGTAAAGATACAAAAATGTACTATTCAGGTACTTCTACCATAAAAACAGGTAATACTGGTACCTCAAAAAGAAATGTACCATAAAATATATTGGCATACACTTTTGTATCAAATGTAATCAAAATGTTAAGAAAACATAATGTTAAACCACTGCATGCAACAATGTTCTGTCTGCAAAATATTAACATTTTAGTAGTAGTCTTTGATCAGTAATTGTAGCTAAAAACTAGTCAGTTTGCCTCTGAGATAAATTTAGCTGTAAGCTCTAGCCCAACAGCCGAGCACATTGTTCTTCTGTCTATGAAATGTCAGAAAGATGTTGTTGTTAATCCACCCAGCTTTTGCCTGGTTGCATCTCATTGTTTTGTTACATGTAGCCTTTGTATCTTTTGTTATTACTATTTTATTATTTGTTGAGTAGTGGGCTATGTTTTTTCCCCAGTCCATGAAACCAAATGCCAAGGTGAAAGATCATCCTTGTAAATGTAAAACAAGAGCAAAGCCACACAGTTCTCAACAGGCTCTGAGTTTATCAGACCTGCTGGCATCTGTCTCCTCCACACTACTTCTCTATAGACTTGTGTTATGAAATGTTCAAACAAATTCCTTTTTGGGGAAAACAGGACTAATCCACCAGAGATCACAGTCACCAGAAGGTCTTGTAGAGCAGTACAACAGGGAAACAATAAAACTTTCTTTTGATTGCACTCCAGGTGCCGTTAATCTTGTGTCAAATGGTTAAGATTCAATATTCAATATAGCAATATTAATAATAATAATGCCTTACACTTGTAATGCACTTTATAGGCTTGTCAAAGCCCCTCAATGCTCTAACACTGTAGTCATTATTCATTCACATCATACTAGGTGGTGGTAAGCTACTATTGTAGCCACAGCTGCCATGGGGCAGACTGAAGCGAGGGTGCCAATCCGTACCATCAGCCCCTCTGACCACCACCAATCATTCGTGCACACACCCCATACTAGGCAAGGAGAGTGAGGTGTCTCGCCTCAAATTGATCCTCCAACCTTTGGGTTGTGGGACAACTGCTTTAACCACTGAACCACTGTCACTCCCAATGTATTACCATCAGAATGTAATTACATGTTGGATGTGATTTATTAATAATGGATTAAAAGCGATAAAGATCCATTTTGTTTTCATAGGTTCAGAGCCAGTTGGGGAGCGGAGTGGCCAAAAATCCAGGAGGAGTCCTCTGCAGGCTCTTTATGACAGTGACCAGGTCAGTACCATGCTCCATCACTAAAGTCGGTGATCCTGTCAATTATTATGAAACACTGTGGAACATTTCAGGCAAAGCAATAACATCTCCATGAAGACATGCAGACACCCCACCATCACTACCAGAAAAGTTACATAAAGCGCTAGTCTAAGAATTGATCTAAAATGAGGACTTTTGCCTTTGAAAGTTTGAGAAGTATCTTAAAATCCCACACTCCTGTGTAAGCGTTTATTGTGGGTATAACTAACCACTAACCACTTCACTTCTTCTTTGGTCTTCCTTTGAGCCAGATGTTCAAGCTGTTGCTTTTTTCAAATGTTAAATTCACATTTTTAGCAGGCTTTCATATAAAAGGAGAGGATTGTGTGACAAAGTAAGTAAGAGTGAGTCTTGCTACTTGAATATTAAGCAGAGAAAAGCATTCAAACATTGAACCCCAGTTTACTGAGAAACTATGAAAGCAAGCGCATGATTAGTTAAATAAACTCCAGAAAGTAGATTGTGTAAGAGACAAAGGTGTCTTTATGTGCAGTGTTGTATGATGTAATGCTGTTTTAAGTATTTCAGAGCAGATAGACTGCCTTAGGACTGGACCATGTATGAGTTTGCTGGAAGTTTACGGGGACTGTTTTTTTGAAGTCAGAGCGCACTTTGTCTTGGCTCCTGCAGCTCACTTAATCCATCACATGACTCAGATGGCGTCACTGTGGGCTGCAGTGAGAGACTTCTCCTACTCAGAGCTCAGTCGTCAAAGCCAACAGCTGGTAAACAGCTGGCCACACGCACCCAAGAAACACTGGACCCAACTGATGAGAAACATTACAGTAACCCACCGACCCCCAACCCAACAGAAAATAATAGAATCAAAAAACTGGTTCTGAAAATGGTACTTGATGCCTGGTAGGTCCTGAATGAACAATAGTGAATGTGAGATGAGCTGAATATTTCTTTTGGACAAAAAGTACAATGCTATATTTCAGATAAAAATAATATATAAAAAAAATATAGATATACATACAGAAACCCCCATTTTTTATGTTGGTCTGCTCATTGCCATTGTTCACTGTTTAAACTACTTTTTGTCATTTATTTAAACTACTTTCTGTGTTAACAGCCCTGAGACATACAGGGAATTGTAGTCAGCAGTGGTTTCTTCTGGTTTCTTTCTGTACCATTTCAAGCTTATCCTAAATATAGCAGAGCAAGAATGGAAAAATTATCCCTATTTTCAGACCGTCTGATTAGCCCTTCCAGTCTGCCCAATATAAACTCCCTCCTTTAGTGGTTTTCTGTTGCTATTCCCAACAAAGGCAAAACATCTTTGTCTTTTAAAACAACACAGATATTCTTTAGAGGTAAATGATGAGCTTCTGCTGTGTTTATTAGACTGTGCACTGTCATTCTTGTGTTGGCTTTGTTATGTCTAAGTTATGATAATGGAAACTTATTTGGTTTTTTTTTTTTATTCCTGTACTATACTTAATTTGAAGTAACCACTAAAATGTTCATTAAAGAATCTTGAGGCCCATAAAGGATAATTTCTGACTCATTTAGGTTTGTCAAAAGTATCAAAAATCAGATACTAAAAGTAGCACTGAAATTAGATAGTCATTTGAGCAGTGACAGTACAGAAATGGACATTTCTTTTGCAAGCTGTTTCAGAGCAAGTATAGACACATAGACACTATGATTTAATGTTGAAAATCACATTCTATTTTCTAAAGAAAAACTGTTTTAACTATCATTGGCATGGAGTATTGAGTCTATACCTTAGTGTTTGAAGTGTTCTTAAAATGTTTACAAATATTATGTTCAGTGTTTATTTTTTTATTTAAGTATTAAAAACGTCAGAATACCAAACGAGTGAAGAAACGTGTAAGGCTTACCCTGACCCATAAAGAGATGAGCGCTCCAGCTGAGAGTGAACACATGTTTCCAGTTATAGAGCAGGGTGGACATGCCAGACAGCAGAGCTACTCCAGCAGGCTGGTGCTGTCATACTCTTTGAGACTTAAATTAGTAATTTATAATTCCTTCTTTTAATACAATACAAGTTAGCATAGTTAGTATATCTTTGATTTCTCCCTTTGTCTTTTGTTTAATTAATCTTGGTTGCTTCTAAATGATTTACATTGAACCCTGGCTATAATTTCTTGACATTTATGCTCACCTTGTGCCTTTTGGAGACATCCTGCTGGCTATTTTAATCACTTTATAAATAGTTGCAAATGCCACCTATGGGGGAAAACCATTGGTCAACGTCACAAGTGGAAAGAGTGGATTTTGAGAAGGAGACTGAGTGAGAGAAGGGTTGGTCTGTGCGCAGTCAGCTGTATTTTGGATCCAGGACAACAGAGGGCCACAGTGTGAGTGGACGTGTGAGCCACAGACCAGCAGCCTGAGCCAGGAGCTCTGAATGAACGCAGTAAATAAGGTGTTTGTGTGACCAGCAGGCCAAAGTGAACTGACTGACCTCTGACTTTGACTTTACTGTACTTCACTTCACTCTATCTGACTAGAGCTTGTCAGTTTGACAATTGACCTCAAGTACAAAAGTGCTGGCTTATAGTTATCCGGTGTTAACATGGGAAGAAAAAAATATGTAAATGTCCTTTTTGTTTAATTTCAGGTGGAGTCGACAGTGCAGGCGCTCCATCAGAGCCGCCGAGAGCTGCTGGAAGAGGGCTGTCGTTCATACACTCGTAAACGTAGAGTCCTGATCCCTGAAGACCTCAAACATGTGATTGTGGATGACCAGCATGGCCTGCTGTACTGCTACGTGCCCAAAGTGGCCTGTACCAACTGGAAGCGTGTGCTCATGGTCCTGACTGGAATGGCGGGCTCCCAGCGAGACCCACTGGCTATACCCGCCAATGAAGCCCATGTGTCAGGAAACCTCCGCACTCTCTCAGAATACACTACGTCCCAAATAAACCAGCGACTGCGCTCCTACCTTAAGTTCTTATTTGTACGGGAGCCCTTTGAACGCATTGTGTCCGCATATCGCAATAAGTTCACACGTAGCTACAACACTGCTTTCCACAAGCGTTATGGCACAAAGATTATCCAGCGGCACAGGCAAAACCCCCAGCCTGAAGCTCTGGAGAAGGGAAATGATGTGTCCTTCGAGGAGTTTGTGTATTATCTGGTGGACCCAGCCACACAGCGGGAAGAGCCGTTTAACGAACACTGGGAGCGGGTGCATTCGCTGTGTCATCCCTGCCTTATCCACTACGATGTGGTGGGCAAGTACGAGACGCTGGAGCAGGACTCCCGCTACGTGCTGCAGCTGGCTGGGGTGGAGCAGCAGGTCAGCTTCCCCTCTTCCTCCAAAAGCACCAGGACTACAGGGGACATGGCTGCCCAGTTCTTCCAAAACATAAGCCCCTTTTACCAAAAGAAACTCTACAACCTTTATCGCATGGACTTCCTACTTTTTAACTACTCAATTCCAGAGTATTTGAAGTTCACATAAGGGCACAATACAATGAACTAAGGCAGATATTCTCTACTAAAATATGTGTGCAAATACTGCCTTTAAAGCAAAAAAAACTTTTAGTCTGTAGTATTAAAGTGGATGTCATTCATTTCCTGGGAAAGTGTGAACTACAAATTGCCTTTTAGTTATCTGTTGTCTGCTGTTTGGTGTGACAGAAGTTGGTGCGCAGGAGCCTCTAGTAGACAGTGAATGTCACTAAATGTACGTGCCTTTTGATTACGGACCTTTATAAATACCTTTTGTAACTGTGATTTTTTTGTTTTGTTTTGTACTGTAGTGCAACATTTGCGTAACTATGACATTGTTTAATTTATTTGTATTTCTAAGTATTTGACATTGAATATTGTAACGCATTCCTCAAAAGTGTCTATATAATAACTACTGTTACCTATGTGGTTCACATAGACCTTTAAATAGAACTGAATCGATCAGGGAAGACTGTGTCTGGGAAAATGATGGATGAGCTAACATTGTAGGACTGATGCAGCTACTATATAAATCTCTTAATTGTTAAAATAGTGTAAGTGGGCACCCAGCAGGCTGTGGGGAAGAGCCAGCTCTATGGACCAGCAACCAAAGTGGATACACTATTGTCAGCATTTCAGTTTTGAAATAAAAGCAACAAAAGCATTTAATTGAGACTGTATTAATTATAAATGAACACATTATGTCTTTCAATAAGTGCTTTGTGGGTGTGACGATAGCTTGAAAGTGTCTCTGTGTTGTCACAGTTCCTAGTAGCCTTCTCAGTCCTGCTCTATAATCACTATAATCATGTACCATAGACCTAAACTGCATATTTATATTCCCCTACTATTACTATTTTCCCATTGTTCCCTTCCTAAGACCCATATTTACTTCCGTTAAAGAATTCAGAAGAAACTCAATAAAAGGACACACTCAGCTAATCTTGTATTAATATTATTTACTATGTCACTTTTTGAATTTACAACAAATTTACTAAATTTATTAAGTCCACATGCTTATATGAGCTGGTGTAGTAAGTTTTGACATGTCAACAATTAAAATACTGAAAGTGCATACCCAGCAATTGAAAGGCCTCTGAAAAATACTTAAAATAGAGTATGACTTGTACATTTAACAACCTGAATAGACTTAACAGCACAAGACACACAACGGCAAACACAAACCATCTTTTTGAAGGCACGAGTAAAGAAAAAGCACTTTGCAAGCTCACTCACTGCAGCATTATCACTAATAGACTTTGTTTTATTTTATTGCTAAAACACAATAATAGCTGTTCGACATTGAAGACAATAAATGACTCATCTTCAACAGATGTTTATAAACAGGCTGGTATTTTGGAGGAAAATATCTATCCATTTCACTGGGGAACTTTCTGAATTATGTTGTGAATATGTTGACATAAGAATAATAAGGTTAAAAAAAACAAAAAACAATAGTATGCATGTATCTACATGTATCATACTATATTAATGCATCTGGGTTTACTGATGTGACTGGGAAACGAATTGTGTCCAGATATTTTATTTCTGTTTTGAAATATTTCTATTTTGTTTTATTTCTAGCGACAGTATGTCAGTTGGTAGAGTGTTTGTCCACTGATCTAAAGGTTGGTTGTCATTCTGTGCGTGGGCAAGACCCTTAACCCACCTTTTCCCCAGTGTCTGCGTATGCTGGTGTATGTATAAAAATGTGGCCATTTACCATTTACTAAGTCATGTCTTATCAATTTCTGATTCTGTTGTTTGTAGTATTAAGTGTCAATTAAACTGCAGCGTATCTTTCTGGATTTTAAATGGTTTGGTTTAGTTGGCATTTTCTTTTGCGTACTTAAAATGAGAAGACTACTGTTCATTGGGAGGACTGTAGCTGGATAACTGACACAACAATTTGAATATTGCTAATTGTTCTACTTACACTTGTTTAGCAATTATGGCATTAACATAGACTGTATATATAAATGGACATAGCTAATCCGCCAGCCGCCACATATCAAATAGGAAGTGTACATGGAGACGCTTCCGGCTCCATTGACTCTGTTTCCAATTGACTTTACATTAAAAAATTGTCACTTCTCTCTCTTTAACTGCTGCAGTGAGCCTTATCATTTTGTTCTTAAAATGTTTGTATTAACTTGTTCTACATGATCCTGTTGTTTTTATTTAGCTGTTCTGTCCATAAATAAGTATAGCTAATATGGAACATGGTTAGAAATTCAGCCCTATAACCGCTAGCATCGTGAGCTTCATTTGACTGGAGCCGAACACTAGAGGTGACGTCACACTCCCTTAGCCCACTTCTTTATACAGTCTATGTTTATTCATTTTATCAAATAATTTTATCATTTTATTTTGTCATCCAAATCCTCTGTTGTTGTTGCTCCTTCTTTCTTTCTGGTCGTCTTCTCAGGTAGTGTCACCACCTTCATGACATATTAAAGCAACTTCCGTATTATTCTCCATTCCCAGCTGGACCAGCCATCATTAGGAATCTAAAAGTCAGAGCCAGGAAGCCTGTCCCCAACAAATCACCCAGTGAAGTCAGATACGGAATACAAAAGTTATCCGGATCAAGACCTCTTCTCCAAAGCCAACGCACCATCACTGAAGCCACGTACAACAAGATGACAACCTGAAATGTGAATAAGAACATAGACTGCTTTAGCTACATTATAATATGTGTTTTACTGTAATGTGATGGCATTTAACCTGTAATAGTGCTGCAGACAAGTAGGAGCTGATGAAGGTAAGGGTCAATGCAGTATGGCCGCCCTGAAGGAGGTAGATGGTGTACAGGAAGAGCATGTGACCAGGCGCAACAAGCAGAAGCAAAACTCTGGCTGATCTAGCGTCGACGTCTTGGTGAAGTACATAAGGTTGAAAATGATCATGACCAATACAAATTCCATATTGTAGTAAATAGGCATGTCACGATAATTATGATATTTACTTATGGTTCAATATATGAAAGCTGGAACAATATATTTTGGGGTTCAGTATTTATCGTGTGTACCATTTCTTTGTAAAAATGGGGAAATTTGGGGTATTTTTGTTGTAATACAATAAGATTTGAGCTGAAGAGGGTTAAAGATCAAACTTCTATGTCTAATTATTGGTTAATTTGGCTATTTATGTGTTTCTGCTCAGGCCTTTTAATAGTCTGTTTAAAATGTGTTTACTGGAATTATACTGCTTTATTGTTATTGTGACACTAGTATAAAGTAGCTCCAATATAATACTTTATCACAGTTCATCTCTGTAGCAATATATCAGGCTTCAAAATTTGTTATCGTGACAAGCTAGTAGTAAATATTAGATATTGTGTGATGTGTGTAGCGTCAGTGATGGGAAGAATACTTTGAAAATGTATTTTGAATACTTTTTTAGTTGCATTATATTATAGTGATGGAAAAACATGACATATAATTACAAAAACAGCTTTCATTCTACTGTTTGTTACGCATTAATTTCAGTCTTAGTAGAGAAGGAAAAATTGTACATACACACATTTTCTTTTTGTGTAGCGGAAAATTTTAGTGGAAAATAAGCAACCACAAAAAGTAACTATATTCTGCATACCACTAAAGGGAAAATAACTGTACCACAATACTATACCAGAATTAGCATTCAGAATATGTATTTCCAACACTGTCAGAGAAATGGTACACAACTTAACATTAAGTTATTTAAATGAACTGTATATATGATTTAACATTTAAACTGTGTCCAGAGATACGCAGTAAACATGTTCAAATCAAATAGCTTTTATTGATAATTATAATGCTGATTTCTTCTTAATTTCAAAACAGTGGTCATGATGGGCAAGTTGTTTATTTTCTATATTGGTGATTTGGTTTTAAAAACAAGTATCCAATGAGAAAACAAAATCAGCTTCGTATGATCTCTGTCCCCAATATACCAGCTCCAGCTGTCAGTCACTTATCAGTGCAGTCTCTGCAGCTCAGTGGCTGAATTATGTGAGTTTCCTGGCCTGTCCTTATACTGAGAATGAGAAAATGTACCCTCATATGCAGTTTAAGGCTCTGGAAACCCAACACATGCTCAGTTGTGATTGTTGTATATATTTTAAAACAGTGAGAGCGTAGGCTACGTACAGTTCATTTAATCAATATAATTAATAATACTTATCTAACATAATCTACTGTAGAATCTACTGTCTCTGTGCATTACCTTTGGAGCAAAAGGTGGCATGGAGGCTAGGGCAGGTCCCACTCATTTTGGGGGGCAGTTGTCCAGGAGAGCTCCAGTAGTGCAGGTATGTGGACATCCTGCTGGCCTGGATGGCTACTAGATTTCCTCCTACTCCTGTGCACACAGACACACAGTGATGCTGAACAATTCTTAGCAAAAGAGAGAAAAGCCTCTTTCACAAGTTTTACAGCCATTTTCTTTGTGTGGTTGTCTCTGCAGGCTGATTACATTGGGAGCAGAACAAAGCTGCACATGCATCATTTGAACACACTGAGGAGCAATGAATGGAGATGCAAATGAACTTCCGGTGGCTGGAGGAGTGTGGAGGCACTGAGGGACAAGTTGACATTCAGATCAGGCTTGTGAAGACTGCTGCTGTGAGCTCGCTGGGACACACAGAAGTTTATCGGTGATTATTTGTTAACTGAAGAACAAGTATGGAGTGCCAAATTATTAAATTGATTTTTCTGGTGTTTTGAAATGAAGAGGCAGGAATAGCACCACACAGGCCTCTGGGAATTGTGCCAACAAAGTCATAACATATGTTACTTAATAAAATAATAGACTCCTGGAAACATGATCTAATCCCTGTGGCAATTTGTTTTGTCTTTGCAGTTCTTTATATTGTGATTTGGTGCTTTTTGAATAACAATAGAACTGTATTTATCTGTTCCAAGATTAAACAGAAATGTGTCTCCAACACAACATATTCAGGCAAACGTCATATTCACTCTTCTAAAATCAGCTATATAATTAACCAATTCCAGGAGCTGCTTGTTCTTGTTTTGTTAATAGGCTAATAATAATAATAATAATTGGGGTTCCAACATCAGTAGGCCTGATTCCATTTGAATTTGTATTAAAACTAGAAATAATTTTTATGTTTCCTTCAGTCACTAGCCCATCGTCAGGTTTGTTAACTTACACTACTATGGGGTGTGGGACTGTGCTTGACTTGAATGGTTTTCCTCACCGTTGATGACTGGAGTGAACATGGCCATGCCTTCAAAGGTGGGGTCGCTCACCGTCTTGTCCAGAATGAGCCCACCGATACTGTAAACAGAGCGCACGTGGCTTTCACGTGTGCACAATAAAACGGGGGGAGGGGGTTGGCCTTGGTGTCACGGCAGCTCACCTGCTGATGGACATGGCCAATATGACGGGCTGCCAGCTGGACCACAGCACCTCTCTGATGGGCCGAGAGCGACGCGCAATAACGACCCACCACGGGAGCACGGCCAGGAAGAAGGCGCACACCACGACGGGCAGGGACCACATGTCTGGACAGGAGAACCGGACATAAGAAACAAAACTATCGCTTTACATCTCAAGGCTACGAACTCCCAGGTAAAACTTGAACGACTCCCCAAAGTCCTGCATGCCTGTTTCCGCTGCCATCTTGTGGCGCTCATGGTAATTACAGTTTATGTGCATTCAAGTTGATGGGTTTGAAAATTGCTATTATTACACGATACTATATAAATATTCTTGTAGCACAAAGGAATTAGAGAAAACTCCACTGGTAAACGTCTATTCCGAAATTTCTTGAAATCAGTTTAATTCTCAGGTCATGTGGAATAACTAGGCCTAAATAAATTGAAACTGGTCCTAACTGCTTCACTACTGAGTTCTTGCATCAGCCTTTTGGGTTTGCCCTCTGAATTAAAGGGATCAGGAACTGTACACGTGTAGTGAAGTGTTTGTTTCTAACCTCTGTGACAATAGAAGAGGCTGCTGACTCCAGCCAGCACAGACAGTGTGATCAGGTCTCCCAGACTGGCTGCTATAGGCGTGGCCACATTGTCTGGATTTATACCCATCTTTCGTGAGCCGATGATGACAGCCACCACCACCAGTCCTGATCAGAGAGAAAGCATACATGTGCATTGCTGAAATAGGTTATTATGTTTAAGCACTTCAATAAAAACTGAACCTTTCTTTCTTTTAGAATTGTTCTTGGCAGTAGACCTACAGTCTTACCTAGAGTTAAGGCAGAGATGAAGGCTGTGGTGACACTGCTGGCACAAAGTATTGCTGCCTCCAGGGCTGTCACTCTCCCTCCACTCAGAGCCCCCAGGCCCACTGCCACAATTGCAGCCAGGAAACCCACTACAGTGGCCTGCACC